AAAAATGTTCATTTAAGACTCTAAAAATAAATCTGCATATGGTTTTGCTTGTTTATCCAGATGTTCAAATAGCACAAAATTATTTTTTAAAAAGAAACACAACTGTATTTGGGCACATGTGGTAGACTGAATAATGGTCTCCCCTAAATGTGTACATCCTGATCCCTGACACCTATGAATTTACTTACATAGTAAAATGGATTTTGCTAAGATGTCATTAAGTTAAGGATCTTGAGATGTGGAGATTATTCTGGATTATCTTGGTGGTCGCATTGTAATGCAAGGGTCTATGAGTATGAGAGAAGCAGAATGACAGACGCACAGGAATGGCAGCAAGAGGAGGACTCAGGCAATACACTGTTGCTGGCATTAAAGACGGATGAAAAGAGCGACAAGCCAAGGGTTGTTCCAGAATCTAGGAAAAGCAAAGAAACAGACTTTCTCCTAAAACCTCCAGAAGGAACACCAACTGTGGACACCGTGATTTCAGCCCACTGAAATTGACTTCAGACCTCTGTCCTCGAGAATTATAAAACAGCTTTGTGTTGTTTTACGTGACCACGTTTACTGCAATTTGTCGTAGCAGCAAGTAGAAACTACTACAGCATATTTCAGCAGCGCAGAGTCCGCATTAGAGTCCTTCCTACCAATGTTAGGAAGTACAAAGCGTTTCAGCTTGTTGTCATAAACAATATTCTGTGGATGCCAAAGATAAGCTACAGGGAGAAACATCATGAATGGAAACTACATCCATCCGTTGTCAAGCCTAATTACAAACTTGTTTGGACCCCAATCTTCACCTTGACCAGTTATTAGTGTTTGTAGGTGAACATTATGAATTTGCATTTAATAAAGCATTTGAATTTCTGAGCCTCGGAGTGGCAGAAATTCAGCCAAGAAATAATTTACATATTGACACTTGGAATCCAGCTGCAGGTTGTACTCACTTTAACAAATAAAACCTTAATTTGCGTAGGGTCCGGCGGGCCCATGGCCTGCCTGCATCTCATCACTTCTACCAGATGCAAAGCAGAACCCTAAGGGACAGTGACTCCTCCAAAGCAAACACAACATCTGCAGACGTAGTCTCCCCTAACTGGCATGAACCGGCTAGAACCAAATACAAGAGAACCCCTGCAAAGGCACACACCTTCCTGGGACAGCAACAAGGCCTGGAGTGTGGACTTTCAAAGGGTAGGGGGTGGGGTGGGGGGTGGGAATAGGGTAGGAAGTTCCAGAATATTCTACAGCAAATTCCAATTCATCCAGAATCACTGAAAACTGGGCATTAGCATAAGAATGAGACAGAATAGATGAACTGTTAGGTTGCAAAATGGCAGAATAGAAAAGCATAGCCCTTAACAGGAAAATGATTCTGAATTTAATTTAACCTCACTGGCAATTTGGAAGTCACCTCAGGATGCTGCCATATTTTCTCTCTACTGTAATGAATATTAATCATCAGGGTGTGGTGCTGTAGAAAACAATTTAGGAAATTAGAGCTTTCCATTTGCAGCTTCTTAAAAACTCTGAATAAGTGTTTATTAAGGAATCTGTATCCTTCCAGTTATGACCTAGAACCGTACTGTGGGTCTGCCAGTGGACTGAGCCACTTCACAGAGAAGAAAATGCCTTGCTCCTTCAATTTTATGATCAAGTTTACATTCCACATTGGACATGGAGGAAGTCAGCAAGGGTTCAGCGAGTGCTTACTAGCCCTCCCGCACATTCTCTGCGATGTTCTCACTCTCCCTTGCAAGATGGATTCCACAGCATAGGGAGGAAAGGAAACTCTCCTTCAGCATAGGGAGAGTTTCCTTTCCTCCCTATGCGATTGATTCCCAGTGCCAGCTACTTAGTAGGGGCTTCACCCCAGGTGCACCCCTGGGTGCGGAATGAATGTGTGCCCACGTGATCTGGGCACACATCTCCATCAACATCTCCATCAGTATGGGGTAGAAAGTTAGACAGGCATGTGCAGAGCAAGGAGGACAGGTCAGGTACAGAAGGTCACCAGGGCAGAAAGTCCCAGGTGTCTAGCAATGCGCAAAATTGGGAAAACAAGGACATCGTCCCCAGGGTGATATTTCCCTCCCTTAGCATAATTGATGGTCATAAGGTTTACACCCCTTGACCTTTCATAGAGCTGGTCATTTGATTCAGACCCTCCCCTGACCTTTCCTCCCCTGGTATGTCACTACTCACATGATAGACGCCCCTTTAAGAAGGAACAAGGGGCCAAAAAGTGGCCTCATGTGACCCATGTGGGCCTTTGCATGACCCCTCCCTTAAGTATTAGCCTCTAGGGATAACACCTAGGTCTTAGCTGTGTTCCACCTGCAGGCCCAGAAAAGCAGCACAACCAGACAAGCAGTGCCATGGCTGTCATCAGAACCAGCTGCATGGACTAATGACCTTTTGCCCTGGCACCAGCCCATCAGTAGAGACCATGACCTTGAAAGGACATGCCTGGGAAGCTGATGAATATTCTACTGGGGTCCTCCCCTGAGACTTCCGGATAAATACTTTCAATTTGGAGGACCCAGTACAGCTCTCTCTGTGGATTATACCTGCGCCGTTCTGCACCGCCTTCTCCCTGGGGTGTTTTCCTTGCCTCTCTCTTTCTCCCGAGCTCCAAGGGCCCTTATTTTGCCTCTGTAACTTGTTTCCTGGGCCAATTTCTTTCACAGCTCACTTCTACCTCATGCCTTTCTAAATAAACTTCCTCCTGTAGTTTGAGTCTTGGCTCTGAATTCTTAGCCAGAACTTCAGTACTGAGGTTGCTCAACCAATTAAGAAAAATTAAGCAAAGATTAAGAAAAACTGGAAAAGTGTACCGATATGGGGCACCCTTCTCTCACTTTGGGAGAACATTTGGAAAAACAATTTAGCAGGGGGAATCAAGAACTGTAGAAATAAATGCTCATTCTCTTTGGCCCAGTAACTGCACTTCTGGGATTTTATTCTAAGGGAATAATCCTAAATATAGAAAAAGTGTCATGCACAAGAATTGTTACTTTATTTTTAAAAGTTCCAATATTATATGTAATAATGAAAACTGGAAACAACCTAAATATCAACAATAAGGGGAAATCAAGTATATTAAAGTGTATGACTATTATGCAACCTTTAAAAAATCTTTATTAAAAGTTTTTGTAACATGAAAAATGCTTGTATTGTTCAGTGAAAATGATAAGATAAAATTTCATATACATTATCAAACTGACATTTTTAAATACATGGAAATAGGACTAGGAAGATATCTTAGAAAATAATTAGCAGTGATTCTCTTTGTGGGTAGAGTGGGATTATGGAGAATTTTTCTCTTTTTCTTTTATGTTTTTCTATACTGACCATATTTTTACAGTAAACATTCTATTTGTCATACATTTCTCCTTGGAGAAGAGAAATCCTTTCTTTTTATTTAAGATCCCTGTCTCTGAGGGGTTAATTTAATATAACTTGCCACTGGTGGCCCAAGCAGAAAGGAGGGAACCCCTGGCTGATCTTGGAGTGGTTCCTAATACAGTGAGATTACGTGGGTCCTTGCACTGTGTGCGGTTGTCACTCCAACTGCCTGTGTGGGTTCAGTCCCACTGGCCCAGGAGCAGGTCCCAGGCCTTGGGCACACAAGGCCTCATACCTGCACAAGACTCAATAACAAGTCAGTCTTGTGAGTTTCTTTCTGGCTCTGCCCTTAGTTTCTGCAAGCAGGTCTCCTTGGTTCTTGGAAAGCAAGTGCCACACGTCTACCCTCATCCTTACCAACAGCTGTATCCTTTCTGTCTCCTCCTGTTACATCCAACTCCCACCCTCCCAGAGCCTTTCTGCTGCCTCTCCCACCCAACCCCATTATCCCAGGGTCTGAAGCCCTACCTCTGAACCCAGATGTCCTGGCATGAGTGCTGGCCTCCGTGATGAGCCCCCCAGGAAGCCGCAAGCCCACTCTCTCAGACCAGACCTGCCATCTGCTGCCAGATGCTTCCCTGTGCGTCAACTTGCCTGCCAAGATGGTGAGCGACTGCTTGCCAGCCCTCCCCGGTGCCACACGCCCACCTGGTCCTCCTGATTGCCTGCAGCTGAGGCTCTCTTGATCCTCTCCCTGTCTTGGTCTCCTTAGCTTTATCTCTGGGTCCCACTCATTGCTGATCAAGTTGTCATTGCTAGGATCATAGCTTCTTACGTTCCTTTTCCACCTTTCCTCTGGGGTTGCACAAGGGAAATTTGGCCAACACCAGGGCCCCTTCTCCTGTCCTGTTCAGGAAATTTATTCTGGGTATATGACTTGGGGAAATAAAGTGGACTGCTTCCCACCGAAATGATGGAGGCCTCGATCCTGCATTTGTATCTGACTAAACAGAACCTAGACTAGACATCCCTCCTTTTATTCAAGAGTCTAATGTGAATGAATGATGGTGATGATGATGAACTATTCTAATGACTGGTACTATGCTAAACACTGAACATGGAGAGCCATATCTAATCTTAAACCCATGACATGGGCTGGCACTATTGGCAGTTCCATTTTACAGATGAGAACACTGAAGCTCACTTAGGTGAACTAGGTCAAAGTCACAGAGATAGTCACTGAAAGAGGCAGTTTGATCATTAAATACCATTGCAGGAGATACAACATCAAAGGCAGGTCATTGCAATGAATGAATGGAGAGGCTGTAGTAAGCATAACCAACAGAAGACTGCATGTCCATCTGCAAGGTGGAAGTTACCACAAAGCCCCAGATGACTTATGCCAGGCAAGAATGGGCGTCCAGAGTTGACAGACCTCCCAAGTTTTCATGAGATGCCAACCCATCTACATTTTTATGTGCAATCTTCCTGTTTAGTGACGTGGGTTCAACATTCTCAAAAACACTGGGTGAGCCAAATCTATGCCAGGTGGACCACCAGTTTGCAACTTCTGCACTAAGCAATACTGTGCACCTTCCAATTCTTACCTGTGACTTATATGCTTATCTTTGGGAAGGGCCAGGGTTACGTACCTGCACAATCTCTAGCATTTCTGCCTTGCTGATGTAGCCGTTTCCATCCAGGTCATACATGCTGAAAGCCCATTTCAGCTTCTGCTCCAGCTTGCCCCTTGATGTCACACTCAAGGCTATGATGAATTCTCTAAAGTCTATTGTCCCATCTCCATTGGCATCAAAGGTACGGAAGACGTGCTCTGCAAATTTGGAAGCATCCCCGTAAGGGAAAAAGTTCCCGTAAATTTTCTTAAACTCTTCCATTGACAAATGTCCACTGGGGCAGTCTCTCAAGAAGCCTTTATACCATTCCTGGATCTCGTGCTCAGTAAAGTCTGTGCTCTCCAGCAAGTCCTGCATGACCTCTGGGCGCAACTTGCTGTTCTGTTTTCCCATCCTGGCAGCAAGAATTCAGCTGTAGATAGAAAAGAATGTATATAATTTTAAACTTGTTCTTCAGAGGCACATTTTATAATCTGTGATTGTTCCTTTGGGAAAAAAAGAAATAAGCTCTACTTTAGTTCAATAACATTGTCTAGGTTTTCCAACACCGTAGTCAGTCAAACAAAATGATAGAAAGACAAGCAAGCAAATGACATAGAGCAGGAATATCACTGAAAGAGACAAGATGTGAGAAAGAGAGAGAGAGAACTGGTTACTTAGTTCTGCCTTGTCTATTTGCAAGAGGTTATGCCTGGCTTTAAGACGGATTCTAACACTCAGTCCAAGTATAAGAAGGGAGAATTAAAGGAGAGGAAGTGAGAGAATATTTACAAGTAAAGTACTGCTTGGGTACCTGCTGAATATTATAAACAGGCATGAGTAAGGAAAATAGAAACCTATCTAATACCACTAAAGCTATGTAGCTAGGTCAGTTATTTAAATTTACAAAGTCAAGTCAGCATAGGGTTTAGACAGAAAAGATGATACTTCATCAAGTTGTTTATGTCTTATGAGTGTGGCTTATGGAATAGGCCAAACTTTCTTTTTAAAATAGAAATTAGTTAATATTTTCTTACCCTAACAGGAGCACATATCCACAGTAAAATAGCGAAACAACACAGTGATGCATAAAGGAAAAGGTCCTCATCATTTCATGTCTTAAGACTTAGGGAAAACCCACTGCTGACATTCCGGTGTGTGTCCTTCCACATTGTTGAATGCATGCTCGTCTAAATATGCTATTAACATGTTTTAACATTTGCATTAAAAACAAGACTATATATCGTATACCTTTAGCTATATATTTTTAAACTTAATAAGGTGTGACAAATAAAGACAACTTCTATTCGATGGGAAAATACCAGTAATTACAATCTTCCCATTCACACAGCCATTTAGCACTTATTGAGGGCCATATACCCGACACGTTTCTGGGCACTGTGGATACAAAGAAAAATAAGACGTGCCCCCGTCTCCGTAAGGTGCACCCCGCTGTGTATGTACGGAGTAGTGGAGGCACGAAGGGGATGACGTGAGAGGCTGGGAGTGGATGTGGTGCAGTAAGAGCGCACAGAAAAGACGCTCAAGCCAAATGCAGGCAATCAGGGAAGCCTTTTTGGAGGAGGTATTATCTGAGCTTAGTTCCTATTGCCAAAGTTTTATGCTTTAAACATGGTCAAGGTAAACCCCTTCTCAAAAAGAGGCTCTGTACTTATATTTTACATTTTTCTTATATTGGGGAAAAAAAAACCTGAAAGTAACTGTTGGAAAGTTACAGAATATATAAAACAAAACGTCTCCATTTTAATCAAGATTTTCCATTTCTTTTGAGATTTTAAGCTTTTTGTGCTTATTTATTTATGTCTGTCTCACTCCCACTACATAGTTTACCCCTTGATACAGAGTCTCCATTGGGGTTAGTCTCTTTTGGGCCCACAACAAAAAACAGTTGGCGATTTAATGAAGGAAGGATAAACAACTACAACATCGAAATATGGAACGATTTCCTTGGACAGGCATTTTTTTCTGATACAAAGATGACGTCGTGGCATTCACAATGCTATTTGGCACACTAAAGCTCTCTGGTTGTTATATACCAATGGCATATTTCACACACTAGAACAAATAATCCAAAAATTTGTATGGAACCACAGAAGAGCTCAAATAGCCTCAGCAATCTTGAGAAAGAAGATCAAAGTCACAGGTATCATGCTATCTGATATCAAACTATACAGCAAGACCAGAGTAATCAAAACAGCATGGTACTGGCATACAGACATATAGATCAATGGTACAGAATAGAGAGCCGAGAAATAAATCCACACCTATATGATTAACTAATATTTGACAAAAGAGGCAATAAAATACAATGGAGTAAAAACAGTCCATTCAATAAATGGTGCTGGGCAAACTGGACAAACATATGCAAAAAGAAAAAAATGAAACTGGACCACCTTCTTATACTGTATACAAGAATAAACTGAAAATAGAGTAAGGACTTAAATGTAAGACTCAAAACAATAAAACTTCTAGAAGAAAATATAGGCAGTAAAATCTCAGACATTTCTTGTAGCAATATTTTTTCTGATGTTTCTCCTCGGGCAAGGGAAACAAAAGAAAAAATAAACAAATGAGACTACATCAAACTAAAAAGGTTTTGCACAGCAAAGGAAACCATCAACAACAGTAAAAAAAAAAAAAAAAAACCCTAGTGACTGCAAGAAGATATTCACCAATGATATATCAGACAATGGGTTAATATCCAGAATTTATAAAGAACTCATACTACTCAACACACACAAATACACACAGAAAAAAGCAATCCAATTAAAAAATGAGCAGAGGACTCGAATAAACACTTCTCTAATGGTCAATAGACATACGAAAACATGTGCAATGTCACTAATTGTCAGAGAAATGCACATTAAAACCACAATGAGATATCAGCTCGCACCTGTCAAAATGGCTGAGCAGTAAATCCACAAATGACTGATCTTGGTGAGGATGTGGAATAAAGGGAACTCTGTTGGGGGGGATGCAAATCAGTGCAGCCACTACAGAAGACAATATGGTGGTTCCTCAAAAATTAAAAATGGAACTGCCTTATGACCCAGTAATTCTACTTCTAGGTATATATCCAAAACACTAATTCAAAAGAATATATGCACTGTGTTCCTTATATAATTATTTACAGTCATCAAGATATTAAAGCAACCCAAATGCCCACCAATAGACAGGTAGATAAAAAAGTGGTTGACACATGCATATAATAGAATATTACTCAGCCATTAAAAAGAACGAAATCTTAGCATTTGTGACAGCATGCGTGGCCCTAGAGGGTATCATGCTAAGTGAAATAGGTAAGTCAGAGAAAGACAAATACCATACAATTTTACTTACATGTGGAATCTAAAGAACAAAATAGATGAACAAAAAAAAATTGAAACAGACTCATAAACACAGAGAGTAGAAAGGTGGTTGCCAGAGGTGAGAGGGAGTTGGGGAACTGGGTGAAATAGTACAGGGATTAAGAAGTACAAATTCATATTACAAAATAGTCACAAGGATGAAAAGTATAGCATAAGGGAATATAGTCAGTAATACTGTGGTAACTATGTATGTGCCAGGTGGGTACTGGAAATACCCAGGCAGGGAATACTTTGTAAAGTATAGTATTTCCTGTATACCCATCTGTTGCTCTTACTAAAAATAAATAGAGGGCAGCATTTGCATCTCACACTGTTCAAACTTTTTTCATAATACCCACAGTTCAGGAAATGGCAATCAATCCTTACTGATCGCCAAGGTGACCGATTTTTGTGTTCAGAGCTCTGCACTGCAGACAGCACTGGCCAACGACCCCAGCCCTCCACCCCAACCCCACCTCGCGCTCCCAGGCTGGCTTCTCCGAGGGGCAGGGAGAAGAGAGCCCTCTTGCTATTAGCAGGACCAACAGCTGCAGGAAGGAGCTTCCATTCAGAGGTCCCTCCTTATGCAGAAACAGGCAAACATCATGTTATACAAGAGCAAAATTCAACTACAACTCCAAATGGAGCACAGACAGAATTTCTAAATTGAACCTTCCAATAACTTTCACTCCCCTCTTGTGTTCTTTTCTTTCTGAAGAAATAAAAGCCAAGTTAGAGAGGCTGGCTTTTATTAGAATTTTCAAACTGTCATTTAGTTGCTAAGTTGGCAATTTGCCTGAGGCAAGAATTCAGAACCATGAGGTAATACATAATACATGGCGTTATAGAGCTCTGAACATTTGCTGGAATTTACAAGTAATTTTGAGTTTTCCTTTTGGGGGGGTTCTTTGAAATACAGCTCTCTGGTGTGGTAGTCAATCAAATCGCCATTATTATACTTTTTATTACACTTTGGTTCTATGCAAATCACCCCATGGCTCGCCTTGGGGGAAAATGCCATTCCAATATTTAAATCCAACCTCTTAAAGAATGTTTTATTTCCCTATATATAAAAAACACAGTTTCTTCAAAACTAAACTTAAGCTCCTTTCCCTATGTTTAGAAAGTGCTTCTCATTTATTAGCTGTTTTTGCACTAGAAACAAATGGCCTCAACATTTTGGCTAAGTCTCCCACTGAGACTGATCTGTGTACAGCTTTTTCACTAAACAGTAATTAAACCACATTTACAAGTTCATTAGCACAGAAAGGCCATCACACAAACAAGGCAGAAGAGCAAGCAATAAGTTATTTGGGATATGGGTGTTTGTAATTTAGTCCAGAATTTGTTTCAGTAGATAACTACAAATACTTTACTACATATGATGTCTGAACTTGTGAAAACCATCTGGATTTGGTTAGACTGTATGACAAAAATATCACGGGACATATGATGGAGCTTCATTCCCAGGTGGGGATGGGGGTTAGGAGGGGTGAGTTAGAGGCATGCCTGACAATATTGTTTTCTTTTGAAAGACAGGAATTTCTGCCCATTTGAGTTGAAGAGGGGGGAAAAAATAACGTCAGGGAAATGCCACATTAATTAGCAGTGAAGAAAAAACAGTCTGGAGACAAAAGTTGCACCTCAGGTAAAATCTTTTTTGTTACTCCATTTGGTCATTAAAACTCTTATTTTGTGCCAGAAGAACATAATGGGGAAAATCTCAGGCCATTGGATAAAATTGCTTGGGTCTAAAACCTGGCTCTGCTGTTGCCTAGTTTTTGAGTAATTCACTTAACTTCTTGGTGCACCTCAGTTTCCTCATCTGTAAAATGAATTCAGCAGTCTGAATTCATACTTCATTGATGTGATGTGAGAATTAACTGAGAGAGTCATATACACAAAGCTGCAGCATTGCATCAGGGCCAGACATCACGGAAAACAAAAACCACATCTTACCCTTGACAGCCCTTCATATATTATTCTATTGAATCTTTCCAGCAATCCCGAGAGGCAGGAAGGCTTTCTCTATTTTATAAGTAAAGAAATGAAAATTCAGAGAGGT